ACGAGCCCTGTGCCTAACGAGGTGGGAGAAGCGGTCGCAGAACCCCACCGGGTGCGCCCGGCTTCGTGTCAAGCGACTCTGCCTGACAGCAACGCGAGCGTCTGAGCGAAATGCGCATCCCAGGCGGGCTCTTCAAATGGCCGCTGTGCTGGCGTCCGTGGAGGCGTTCAGTCCCGACGCCAGTGGGCACGGAGCCACCCGCCGCCCGAGAGCGCCTGAAAGGCCCGTCTCACGGCCCGGACTCAGCTGCGTGGGAAGCTGTAGGCACACAGGGAACGGGGCTTCCCTGGGACGGGTCACATGCTTAGAGTGAGGTAGGAACCGAAGCTGGGTCCTGAACCAAGGCCTAAGCGCCAGCTCGACAGCCCTGGAGACTGGCAGCTGCGTGGCAGCAGCTCCTGCTCCCCTGACTCCCGCCCAGGAAAGTCCCTCAGCCCGGGCCAGAGGGGACCCTTGTGGAGTAGCTCAGGCTGCTGTTCCTACCGCCAGCGGCCTCTGCTGAGCGACACGCTGCAGCGGGCGCTGGTGAGGTGGGCGCCCAGCGTCCCGCTGGCTGCAGGGCCCGGCTGGGTGCTCGGCCACCGAGTCCCCTACACAGCTGAGCTCCTTTGTGCCAGGGAAACTGCTTGAGGGAGCCACCCACACTGTGAGTGTTGTTACGGTGTCTGACATGAGGTTCACGCGCCGCAGGAACGGTGGAATCAGCCCAGGGTTCTTATCCCTGCCCCTCACGGAGGAACAAGGAAGCATTTTGTGCCATTTCAAAGGTGCCACAAGTAAAGCAGAGCAGGTGGAACACCGTCCCATCCAGCGGGTAACTGACCCTGGAACGCCGGGCCCCCGGTCGGACCCTGCGTCTGCGAGCGCTCGGGAGACTGAGAAATGCTTCGTGCTCTCCTGGCCCTAATTCATCCCGGCGCTCCACCTGAAGCCATTCTCTCTCCTGGGTGGCTGCTTTGTGGCTCAGTGGAGCCACCGTGTTTGCGCCGTAGGACACGGACTCCTGCGTGACCCTTGTCAGCTCATTGATCTCCTTGCCTGGCCCCCACAGGCAGAGGAAGTGAATTGGAAGATGACTCAATAGCAGCGAGGGGCAAGCTTCTTACAGTTATGGGCTTCAGTGGCTCTGTGATCCACGGTCTGACTTTCTCCCACCTGTATCTTTGGGTAGGATATTGGACCGGAAGCCTAGTAGCAGGGTTTGTGTGACTCCCAGTGGCTCATACTTTAGGGAGGTTGGAGTGACTCATGTCACTTTGGGTGCAAAGATTTTCCTTCCCTGCTGGTCACTAGTGCAACAGCATCAAACGCCTGGGGATGAAAGTTAACCCAACTTTCCCTAGTCTCCCATAAAGCTTGTGTCTGATTCAGGCCTAGATGAAGGTTTGATTCAGTAAATATTTTGAATGTCACTTTGCATCTACAGTGGGCTTTTCACCAGAGGATTGCTAAGTGCCTGCCAGGGGCACGTAGCATCCCCATTCTACAGATGGGAAAACCGAGGTAATGTGGTGATTGGCCAGTGTCACACCAGAAGTTGGTGGCCCCTGCTCTAACAACTGGACACACTTGACCCCGTTTTGTACCCTAAACTGACATGTTCACCCCTTCTTATCCCTGGGCGGCATTTTTCAAAGCTGAAGCGAGGCTGGGTGGGACAAGTCGCCTCCAGCCCGGCACCTTTCCCAGCTGTAGGTGGATGAAGGACTTTCTGGAGAGGCCTCATTTGTCATTTAACGTCATCTTGATCTTGAGTTGGGTAAGGCAGCACCACAGGACACAGCCCCACGCTTCCACGCAGTGTGTGGAGCAGCACCCGGCTGTGCACATGGGGGATGCTGCCATTAAAAAAGTGATGGAAGAATCTAAGAGGAGGGTGGGGCGGCTTTGGCAGCTGGGCGGATTGTCCTTCTATCACAGGGCTCTTTTGCTTCCGGGTCTGCCTCTGCCCGTCCACGCATCTTTCGACCTACCCCCATCACCTCTGGATCTCTGTCCTCTCCCCCCTTCATTGCCAGAGAGGCCGAGGCCTCCTTGCTGTGCTTGTGTATCAGCTCCGTGCCTCGGTTTACCCATGTGTCGCGTGTGATGCCCAGCAGTGAAAGGCCCAAGATATGTGAAATCAACCTGCTTATGCAGCATTTTGAGATCTTCTGAAAAGTGCAGAGAAGAGCAAATTCCTGAGCAGTGGCGACGATTCTACCGTGCGGAATGAACAAATCGGAATGGAAAGGCGACACTCGTCCCTTCGCCGGCGTGAGACACGTCCTGTTTCGGAGGCTGGACGCTGCCTGCCTCAGAACGGATGGGCCACGTGCCGCAGGGCTGTCGCTCGGGGCATCTCCCTTCACTGCCCAGAGCCTGGTGGGGATCTGGCCTGCGCGCCGGGCCTGGCACATGACCAGAGTGGCTCGACACGGAAGCCCCTTTATTGCTGAGCTTGCCCTGCTTTGCCTGCGCGGTGCTTCTGCTGGGGAGCAGAGGGAAGCGCCCCAACCCTGCTCGGGAGCCCCTGCACCCCGACCCCTTTTCCTCGGCAGGAGCACGGGGGAGGCGGGAGCAGGCAGGCGGAAGAGGTGGGGAGGGCGCCTCACTTGCTTTGGCTCAAGGCCCCACAAAAGCGTTTCCGGATGCACAGGCGCCCAGTGCTCCCGCTCTGCCCAGACGTCGGGGGCCTCTCGTGGGACAGACGCTCCCAGTCGCGCTGGCTCCGCTTGGCCATGCGTGCCGCCTGGGGCGGGGTATAGCAGGCCAGGCATTGTTCAGAGGGGTGGGGGTCCCAGCTTGCTGGCTGCTGGCGTGAAACAGGCTAGCTGCTTTCCCACGGGGCGATGGCCTCCCCTTCCCGCTGAGCCCCACGAAGGAACTGCCTTGTCCCGAAAAGGGCCAGGTTACAAACCGGCTGGGGCAAGAACAGGCAGTGTTTGCACAGAGCTCAAAGCGCCTGACAAAGGACCGTGCGACCCCCCAGCCTGCGAGGCCCAGGGGGTCAGTGTGAGGAAACTGAGGCCCAGGGAGATGCCAGGACTTGCGCAAGGCCCCATGGGAAGGGAGTGGGACAGGGCGGGATGAGAATCCAGGACGCCCCAGTTCCCACCACTCCGCGGCAGGCTGTGCCCCTAATCCGGTCTCTCTTCTCTCCTAGCATCTTGGTGAACATGGACAATAACATCATCCAGCACTACAGCAACCACGCGGCTTTCCTGCTGGACATGGTGGAAGCAGAGGAGAAAATCCAGATCACCCTCAAGGAGCTCTGAAGAGCCCAGGGCTGCACTTAGGTTGGGACTTCTCTCCGGAAGCTGGACCCAAAGCGAGCAAAGCCTGGTTGCCTGTACTTGACCAGGGCCCCCTCGGGGGCAGAGGCTCAGCGCTGGGACGCTGCTTCGGAGAAGTGCTTGGACAGTCCAGGATCAATGTGAACGTGGAACTTCTCTCTGTTGAATTTATTATTATTAATTATTATTATTATTATTATTTGTATTTTGTGTTTTCTCCCCCTCCCCAAGGTGGTTCACAGCCGGGATGGCAGATCCGCTCATGCGGCCGCCCAGCAGCTGCCGACACATAGACAAGCAACGGCTTTTGTTCTCCTTTTGTCTTGGCCGGTTGCTGACTCCTCCACTAGGCAGCAGCTTCCTACTAAGCCGTCAGCCACGCGGAACCTTCAAGCAGCCCTACCCCAGCCGGCAGCTCCGCTGTCCACAGAGACTTTCTCAGATGCATTTACACGTGGCTGCTACCCAGACGCTGTGGCTCTGAGCACAGCCCCTCCACCTCGCCCGGATGGAAATACCCCTTCTCAGCCATTCTTTTCTACACTGCTGATGTGCGCATCCTTCTGTTTTGTACATGTATAAATAGGCCTCGTTTTATATTTGACCCCGCACAGTGACCTCGAGAGCATTTCAAAACCGGGCTGCTTCACTTGCCCCGTGACTGCGTTGTTATAACTGTGGGCTTGGTTTTTTATATATTCCCTAGTAATAAAGTGACAGAGGTGGAAAGCAGACGTGTGTGTGTCAGACTCGGTGGGAGCGATGGGCAGGACCCGGCTGGCAAGGGGGAGGGAGGTAGAGGGAGGCTTGGAGGTTTTTTTGTTTTCTGCACGCTCAGTAATAACATGAGAACTCCTGGCTTGCAAAGCTACACTGGCTCTTCCTGCTCCCACCCTCCCAGCCATATGCACACAGACTGACTTCTGGGGGCCTCCCTCCCAGTCCGTGTTGCAGAAATAACACTTAGAACCACACAGGTACCCTCACATGCCTGGGGGTGCAACGGGCAGGATTATTTCCAGTCTCTGTATTGGGAAACTGAGGCATCAGACTTCCTGGTTTCCTGCCAGGGATAATTCTATCTTCTCCCCCCCGACGCTGCTGTACTTTGCCACCCTTAGGCCTGGAGCTTCTCTACCTCCTCTGAGTCAGTCCCGCCCCTTCCCAGTTCCTGAATCCCCCACAGCTGCTCTCCTGGCTACTGCTTCCCCAGTGGCCTCTTGCTCTGACACCTGCCTGCTCCAGGCAACTTCTCATCCATCCCCGGACCACTGGGAGCGGGAAGGCTTCCTACTCCCTTCCTGTCTAGGCGGTGAGGACCCAGCAGCCCCTTCCCGGGCACTCCCCGCAGGGAGAATCCCCCCAGCCTGTCCTCCTGCTCCCGGGAAAGGCAACTGTACCAGGAAGGAGCATCTGCGAGTGACTTGGGGGGTGGCTGGACGAGGAGAGAAATTCCAGGGGGTTGTTCCATGCATCAGACTGTGCAACGTTCGGTTAAATCGGGGGCTGGCTACGTTGGGAGGCCTGGTCAGTCTTCTGCAGGCACCTCACAAGGCTCCACGATCCTGTCCTCAGCCAACGACCCCCCTCCATCGGCTCCTCTGGTCCCAGGTGGCGTCACCGGCCCATGACGACTCAGCGTTCGCTTAACCCCCGTAAACATCCAGCCCCGAGCCTGGGCAGGACCGGGGCACAGCGACCCCCGTGTAATGTGGGCAGCAATGTTGGTTTGAGCCCGGAGCCTGAGCCGGCCTGCACCTCCCTGATGCCCTGTCAGCCCCGCCCCGCAGCCCACAGCTGCTTAATCAGCCCGGCAGCCCGGGGCTGTGTGCACCGGCTGATCAAGCAGCGGGGGGCTGCCAGCAGGGCCCTAGGGCTCGGTGTGGAGCAGACCCAGTCTGCCTGCTCGCCAGCTGCTGAGGTAAATCCTGAGGGGCCCCTGCCAGTTGGGGGGAGGGATCCCCTGCTGGTGGGGAGGCCCTGGCTGCTCCAAGTGGGCCCCCAAGGGTGGGGCCCTGGGTGCGGCCCAGCTGGAGAAGAGGGTGAGCTGGTGGCGGGGGAGGTGCTGGGTCAGCTTCTTGGTCTTTGCCAGCCCCTCCTACCCCCCCCCGGGGGGGGTTGGGCTGGAGCCCAAAAGGGGCAGCGGGGAAGCCGGTTTGTGCTGGGAATGGGGGTGCTGAGGAGTCAAGAACAAGTCCCCACCCGCATCCCCGCCAGGTTTCTAAAGCACTGCTGGGGCTTTGTGCAGATCCCCGGTTACCGCACAGGGAGTCCGACCCTCAGTTCTGTGCCTGGCTCTGCCCATAACTCATCACATCACCCCCTGGCTTAGGTGCCTCAGTTTCCCTTTCGGGAAAGCAGGGCTGAGCATGACGCCCCCATTGGGAAATGCCCGGGGGCCCCCAGCCATAGAGGAGCTAAGCACTGAGACGAAAGTAAATGCCCAATTGGTCTCCACTCAGCTGCTGGAAGTTTGGGGAGGTGAGGCCTGGGCAGACACAAAGGCCCAGGGAGGAGGTGGAAGGGTTCTCTGGGCCATGGGACTCGGACTAGGGGGCTGGGCCTTGCACGTGGTGGGTGGTCCCAGACTCTAGACAGAGAGCCAGGGGAACGCACTAGCGCGGCCGCCGTGGTAACCGTGGTTCAGTGTCTCCTCCGGCCTGACTCCTGCTCAGCAATTCCTCCAGCGTCCCCTCTCCCAGGCAGTGCAGGTGCTGCTGAGTAACAGCCGTGGGGCGGGTGGGGCCAGGATACAGCTGGGGCGGGGGCTGCATCAGGGGAACAGGCTGTGGAAGGGGAGGCAGGGTTTGCAGAGGCTGCAGGGCTCAGGTGAGGCTCAGGGCTGGAGGGGGGGTAAAGGTTTCCGGAGCTGCAAGAAAACGCCTGGTTCTGTTTCCCTCCCGTAATACAGGGAGGTTCCTGTAATTACCACAACCCCCTCAGTCAGTGAGTTGCTCTGCTGGAAAAGCCAGTTTTGCCCACCCTTGGTGTGCCCCGTGTTTCTGTGTAGCCGCTAGCCTGACGCCTGCACACAGCTGTGCCTCGGAATGGGCATCTGGCTTGTACCCAGCAGTCCAGGACCCAGGGGAAAGGCTGCCCCCTTGTGCAGTTGGGGGCTGAACATGGAGGGCAGTGGTTCGTCCGTAACATGGCTGTGTCCAGGGCTTGGGCAGGTGGGCTGAGATTCGGTGCCCAATGTATCCTTGGTTGCATCCGACATGAATAACGTTGGCGGTTTATTCTCCTCTGCACACCAGTGTAATTCCACATGGTTCGGTGAGCACTTGGGCGGCCCCAGGAGAGATACAGGTGCTGCCCGCTGAGTAGCAGAGCACCTGCAGCTGGCAGCCTGTGCTTCTCCTGGTGGTGCACATCCACACATGCATTGGTGCACATAACAAAATGTATTCCACACATGGCTGGACAATATTAGCGGGAACATTGGTGGCGTTCCTTGTGCTTGTCACCAGTGAGAGCAGAATAAGGTCACAAGCAAGCTGAGATTCTCTACAACGAAAGGCAGCACGGATAGTGTTGTGCCACTTTGCGCCAGTTGAGAATCTGGCCTGGAGTTGTGCAAGGTGGGCGTTGTTCCCTCTGCAGCCTTTGCACTAGTGCAGCAGGATGCTCCACCATTCCGAGCAGGTAGCGTTTTACACTCACGTTGCACTGGCCTAAGTGGCATAGGGCAATGGAGGATCAAGAGCCTAGTTTGATGCCAGCCTGCCCTGGATCTCACGCCCACCTTACATCAAGGAAAGAGCTGATTCACATCAGTGTGAGAGCAGACTCTGCCCTGCCCCCGCGCCCTGCCTAAGGTGGGTGTTTCGCTGACGTTGCTGGCTTCAGTATCGGTTCATCCCTTCCAGCAAAGGCGAGTTGCCATACAGCTGGTGGAAAGCACAGCTCACAAGTATGCGAGAGCATTCTTGACTCTTCACCCCAGCCCACCAACCCCTTTGGAAGATGAAAGGGTGAGCGGAGAGGCTCCGGGGCAGCAAGTCCTGAGGGTGGGTAAAGGTCGTGTGAAAGTATGAGCCCACTTGTGTTTGTAAGGAGCCCATGATGACAAATGGGGGAAGCTTCCACTGAAGCAATATTTGGCTAGGTCCAGTTGATGGCTGGTTTGTACTGACTTGGGGAAAAACCGATTCAAAAGTGTTTGACTTCTGCTCACTTGCAGCTCTGAGAAAAGCACCCGCAGCTGGGTGCACACCTGGAAAGCTTGCCGCTTGCACTGCACAAATTCTGCACATGCATCCCAAACACATGCCAGGACCTGACTATGCCTGGCAAACTGACACCACCAGAGCAGGAACCTCGCAGAAATGAAAACTGTCTCCTGTATCGCCCTCCCAGTGTGCTCCAAAACCAGCCACCCCTATTCTGCAGGGTTAAGTTCAGAGCAGAGCTGTGTTAGTCTGTATCTGCAAAACAACAAGGAGTCTCGTGGCACCTCGGACTAACAGATCTCTTAGTGCACGAGCTCCCGTGGGTAAAACCCACTTCATCAGATGAATAAGCGTGTTGTAACGTTCACTGCTTGCCCAGGTAGCTAATTATTTCAGTTTCATGTATCTTTTATCTACCTCCCCACCCTACCTTTATGTCACTGTGGATTAGTTTACAAACAGGAAATTGGTCTGTTGCAATGAGAAATGGGATCTCCTGAAATCCCAAACTCCCCAGGGCTTTACTGGAGAGATGAAATTTACACGACACACCAAGAGGGTGCGTGCTGTGTGGGGCTGATTCACCATCCCGTGGCCAGGCTGGCAGTCACTTATGTCAGTGCAAAGTGGGTCGTCAATGGTGCCCTTTTGGGACCAGCCTCTGGTCAGTCTGCAGATCTTCGACTTAGAGGAGTTTTTCCTGAAGTGCCAGTGAGGGGAGATATGGGGGCAGACAGGCAAGTGAATTGCCAAACCACCAGTCAAATGCTCAGTCCTCAACAGCTTCTCCTACTCCCGTCTCCTCTCACTGGTGATTAGCTGAGACTGCAGCACGCGTGCCAGTATTATTAATATTTACTTGTACTATCACCATGACTAGGACAGATTTATTTTGTGCTTGGAGGGAGGGAGCCAGAAGCACACCTGGATTCTAAAAGCCAGAGGTTCAACTGGAGGGTCAAGAGAACCACAATTTCAACCAGGGATAAAAATCAAGCAATAGATTATCACAAGTGTTGTACGTGATTGGCCGATATGTGACCAGAATTGATTAGCCCCACAGATACATTCCCACTAATTACAGAGGGTTAAAAAGAATCAAACAGTATTTGCTTGACTTGTTCAAAGTCAACTTAATTGGAAGCTTTTACGTCAGTTTCAGCCTGATGATCAGCTTTCAGTCTGCAATCTGTGCAAATTACCATGGTCAGCTGCCAGACTACAAGGCCAGTTAAGACATAGGTGCTGGGGATACTGTAGCTTGTTCATGTATTTGCGGGTGCACAGCTGGTTTAGGGTGAGTCCAGTCTTTGCAGAATTTCTCCGAAGTGTGAGGACGCTCCTGCCTACAGTACTGGAATCCACTTGTTATCAACGTTGTAGAGAAAGGACTGCTTCCCTGGTACTTCTGGAAGATACGTACCTATCACGAGAGATGCGGAAAAGAGCTAATGCAAAGAGCAGACTATTGACAAATATAAGAACTAGGGTGTCTTGTTTGCAGGGTGGGGAGAGGCTAAAGAAAGGGCTGTAAATCCTTGGCTGTATTTTTGATGGGCTGCATGGAGCAGCTTCAATTTGTAATGAATAATGGCAAGATTCCTGCACCTTTACTGACCAGGTCCCTCACGCTGGCACTGAAGTCAGTGGTGCTACATGAGGCATAAGGACAAATTCAACATGCATAAAGAAGATGAAAGCAGGGAATGCTAGTCTAGTTTTCCAGGTGAAATTCTCTGCTTTGCCACAGCGCTTTTCATGGTCTTGGTCATGTCACCTGGGCCAGATTAGTGTTTAGGTGCCTAACTCCTACTGAAATCAATCACGGTAAGTTTGAAGCTCTCTCTGCCTTCATTTCCCATCTAGTGTTTAGGTGCCTAACTCCTACTGAAATCAATCGCGGTAAGTTTGAAGCTCTCTCTGCAATGGGGATAACAGCACTTCCCTACCAGGAGAGGTGCTGTGAGGATAAATCCATGGAAGGCCGGGACGAGCTCAGCTACTACGGAAATGGGGGCCATACAAGCTAGATAGTGGAGATCACCAACAGGGGCCAAAGGTTTTGTGAAGGCAGAAAGACTCTTCTCCACCTTGAGTATCTAATCGCACTGAGCTGACCTGTTATACAAATGGAAGTAAAGTCAGCTTCCGAGCCTCCTCGGCCTTTGAGATAAAACACTTGTATATGCTGTTAAATTACAGCGGTCTGGGCAAACCATGCTTTTGTTAATATCCTCATTAACATTCATTGTCATGAGAGAAGGGCCCGAGCCAAGACACAGCAAGCTAGTTCCAAAGGTTGGCACAGATCCTTTGTTTGGACCTTCTTTTAATCTCGACTCTGATCCAAAATTCACCTTGATTGTATTTGGTGTTGACTGACTATCTCTCTATCGGTGGCTTTTTAAGTTACATGATCAATCAGAAACCCTGGACATAATATTAAATATCTGGCATCCTAAAATCCGGGCACCGAATACTTGGTGCCCAATCATCCCTTCCTATCGCTAATACGAGCCTATTCATTGAATCGGGTGCTATTTCGGTGGTTGGGGGCAATGACATTGACGTAACACTGCAGCTCTGCATTGCATGCGATTCTTACAGGCCTGAGCCATTGTGCATTGGATATGAATAGTGCACATGGGCTAACTCTGGTAAGATGTCGTCACAGGATGCTTTGCCCCAGTGGAAGTCTCTTGTCTAGAGGTAAAAGGTAAAACGAAGGGGATTTTGCTATTTCCCAAAGCCGGTGCTGGCAGCTGGGTTTGTGTGACGGATGTCCTGATGTATCACACATTAACAATGCATGGGCATGATTTCCAGTTTAATTCTTGAGCTGCTTTTACTGCCGTCGGTTCAAAGTATTTCTAGCCCTGCTTACTTCCTCTGCTTCATCTTGAATTTGATTTTCTCACATGTTTGAAAGACTCTGGGCTGGATCCTTGGCTGGTGTAAATGGGCACAGCTTCATTTGCTTCAATTTACCCTGCTGGGGACCCGGCATCTACCAAGCAGACGCTGCGCGTTTCTGCCCAAGCGCTTGGCATGCTCAGCATGTGAGATGTAGCAGGGCGGACGGGTATTGTGCAGCCCTCTAGTAAAATCTCTCCCTTTGTTTCTGCGGCCACGAGGCAGGGGGAAACCAACAGCACCATGTGAGCCGGGTCTGACATGCGCCAGCACGCTGTGGATGGGAGATTCGACAGATGACTAAACTCAGAGACTGTAAACAATAGCAAACTTGGTATTGTCTGCGCTCCAAATCCGGCATCAGCCTGCCACAGGGACGCAGGGTCACGTGTCTTGCATTGTTTACTTCCTCGAATACACCTCACTTACTCACCGCAGGAAAATACTGTTACTCATGGCGATTCCTGATTGCACAACATGCACCCAGGGCCAACTGCCACCAGCCTTCCTCAGGCTCCGCTGTGCCCTGCTGCACAGGCACCCGCAGGCTTGCAGTGCGAGGAGCAACTCAGCGGCCACAACCAGAGACTGAATCCGGCCTTAGCTTGTCCCCTAGGTGTTAGCATTGACGGGGCTGGAGGTGGATCCCCTGCATCGCTGGGAGGTCAGATGGCCCTTGGGCTACGATGGAGTAAAGGCTCCAAGCTCTAGCCCTCTGCATGTCCCCTGGAAGCACTGGCTGGTCATGGGAGCCAAGGACATGATGCCCACGGAACCCTTCATACGCTTCCCCCATCGTCTCTCTGAGCAGGCCCCTTCCCGAGCTTTTCTGGACGCAGTTACGGGCCCTGGTATGTCTCCCACGTGTGCTGATGTCAATCAGGAGCAACTGCCCTGGACTCAAGGGAGTCGCACCAATGTTACGCCAGCGTCAAAGTGGCAGAAGGCAGAGGAGCGCGGCTGGGAGGGCCTGCAATGCAAACACTTGGCTTCTTCATGAGTCACTGTCTTCCTTCTTTCACTGCTTCCTCCCCCTCGCCCACACAGGGCACTAAGGCAGCCCAGGGAAGACTTTGGTTGCAACAACAAGAGTCGAATGGGAGTTTTCCAAACACACCGCAGCTCCCAGAAGCTGTTTATCAAACTTGCCAACAGTTGGCAATAGCTGAATGGCGCTCGGAGTGTGTGTGCGCGTCTCAAGATATTTTAAACAAAGGGTACAGTGACCCGAATGCAGGGCTAGGAGTCAGGAGACGCAAGGGCCAATCCCAGCTCTGACACTGAATCTCTGTGTAACCGTGGACAAGTCATTTAGCCTCACATTTACAAAAGTATTTAGGTGCCTAATGGTGCAGAGAGGCACCTAATGGGATTTAATAACAGCTCCCATAAATCTAACTAAGGGTATGTCTACACTACAAAGTTAGTTCGAACTAACTTTCATAGGCGCTACACTAGCGCTCCGTTAGTTGCTCTGACACTGAATCTCTGTGTAACCGTGGACAAGTCATTTAGCCTCACATTTACAAAAGTATTTAGGTGCCTAATGGTGCAGAGAGGCACCTAATGGGATTTAATAACAGCTCCCATAAATCTAACTAAGGGTATGTCTACACTACAAAGTTAGTTCGAACTAACTTTCATAGGCGCTACACTAGCGCTCCGTTAGTTTGAATTTAATTCGAACTAATGGAGCGCTTAGTTCGAACTAGGTAATCCTCATTCCACGAGGATTAAGCCTAGTTCGAACTTACTAGTTCGAATTAAGGGCTGTGTAGCCCCTTAATGCGAACTAGTGGGAGGCTAGCCCTCCCCAGGTTTCCCTGGTGGCCACT